ACTGCACTAGGCTGCTGATTTCCATGGGAATACTTGAAAACATACTGGGAGCTGCAGTCTTTGGAGAGGCAGATTGTAAAGAGATACACTTGAGGTTTTGGTGACTTGGACCAGCATAATGTGTGTCATGGAAACAAGAGAAGGAAAAGAGATTTTTCTTTCCTCTTGAATGATCCCTCATGCTTTGAGGTTTGGATTGTTGTTTTTTTTTTTTTTTTTTTTTTTTTTTTTTTTTTTTTTTTTTTTTTTTTTTTTTTTTTTTTCTGGATCTCTTCTTGATGTGGTTGGCATGTATTTGATTTTAAAAGACCTTCTCTGAAGATATAAAAGAGAAAATAATGATCATCTGGGAGGAAAACCATGCTCATATGCACTTTCATGTTGAGAAGTTTAATTTAAATAATGTCATTTGGGTAAGAATTGGTGGCTTAAGTGGCTTAAAACCAAACATTTCAGACTTTTTACATCAAAGTTATTGTAATGTAACACTTCTCAAGAGTTAAAAAGATGAATGAATATTCTGGACTTAATTGTTTTCTGTTCTCTTTTCCTAAATGATTATTTTTTTCTGCTTTGGCATTTTGTCTAATGTTTCACTTCAGCATGACCAAGCAGTGGATTTGGCCCTACTATCCATTTAATTCCTGAGGTACCTGTCACTGCCTGATGAAAAAAAAATAAGAACTTGATTTAAAAAAAATAAAATATAAATACTTGATGTCAGGAGAAGTACTGCTGTTACTCTCCAGGGTGGCACATAAGAAACAATGGTTAGGTCAGCCTGTCTTTGAGACCTTAGAAGGATGTGTAAAATATGGCCTGCAAATGTCCGTACACCAGAATCCAAGCAAATGTGCTGCAAAAAAACCTAGTAAAATTGTTCCCGAGCAAGTGAAGGAGACTCATTGCTATTCAGACTACGACCGGCTTTGCATAAACAGTTAACCACATAAATAGTGTTTCCAAAAATAGTTTCTCAGTGTCATATAGTTATAGACTATGCTTTCCCATGCAAGTTTAAATTACATTGATTGTGTCCTGACTGATTTGGGATGTCGTTGACACTTCTCAGCAGTGAGTGTGAATAGCAGAATCCACCGTTTGCAAAACTGAAGATAGCAAATACTTTTATAAAACAAACATAATGTTGTAGTCAGTATAGCTATCTGTGATGATAAAAAGAAAATTGAACACATTATTTTAATAGTCATGATGCAAAAAGAGACAAGGTAAATTTAATAAAGCTGTAGGGCTACTGAGTAGAAAGATGTCTATGGCTGAAAACCTCCATGGGTTACAAAGACCTGAAGACAATGTTCAGGAGAAGTATCTGTCATAGTCTTTCCTGATTCTAGCTTTCTTTCCATCAGGAACAAAATGTAATCTGCAGGAAATAGTGTACTAGATTAGATAGCTGGATCTTGTTCCTATGACTATTGTAGGATTTTGGCTCTAGTAGATGGAAAAAAAATCCCTACATTTGCTTCTTCAGAAGCACGTCAGAGACATGATTTGAATTGCAACTCTGTGGCTGTGTGATTCTTTGCAGGTGTTGTGAAGTACATGCTACCTTCACTCCCAGTGTAAATTATGGTGTATTCTAGGAAAATAGATTTCTTCTATCATATCTATGTACTACCATAGTGCAGCTTCCTTTCTTGTGGATTGCAGCTTCTGTTTTAGAAATAAAGAAGAGTTGACTTTATGAAGGAAACTCTAGATGATTGCAAGTCATGCTAGAGAAGTTTTTGGCAGACATTTAATTTGTTTAAGCAGAAGATCAAATACAGTCATTATTGCTGTAGTCTTTGCAATATTGCCCTCTGTTTGATCCTTCTGGTTGTCATTACATTAGAACCCTTGTCAGGGTATATTTAAGTGCAATGACTTTCTCCGTCCACTTTTTGAATTGGAGAAGAACTTATCTCTGGAAACCAGTGTTTTGCTGTGCTTTAACTTTTCCCTATGGCATTAGGGAAATCAGCAGTCTTTGAATTTCTGTGATTCTAATATTCCATGTAATCTTTTAGGTTGGAAAAGACCCTTACAATCGAGTCGAACTGTGAACCCAGCGCTGCCAAGTCCATCGCTAAACCATGTCCCTAAACGCCACATCTGCATGCCCTTTAAATAACACCAGGGATGGTGATTCCAGCACTTCTCTGAGCAGCCTGTTCCAATGCCTGAACACCCTTTCAGTGCAGAAATTTTTTCCTAGTATCAAACCCATACCTCCCCTGGCACAACTTGATGCCATTTCCTCTAGCCTGTCACTTCTTACTTGGGAGAAGAGGCGAAATGTGATCTCCAGGCTGAACAGGTGCTGCTCTCCTAGACTTTCCTCTTTAGAGAATACTTAAATACTGTTATGTTTTAGCTCTGCCATGTGTACATGAGTCTGCAAATCTAGCCTACTTGAAGCTTTGTTTTGCACTGAAAAAAAAAAATCCAAAAGAAAATATATATAGTGTCAGCTAGTCTATTTGAAACACATTGAAAATTACTAGAAAGTACCTCCTGCTTTCCCGTTATCTGAATGGAGTGTCTCAGAGTTGGCATTAAGGAAGAAGGCTAGTTTTGGGGCTATATACAGACAGAGAAGACTCCATCTAAAAATGTAATTACAGGCAGAACTGTGCTCAACCAAAGCAGCAATTATAGGGCTTTTTTCCTTAGTTTCTAGTTTTAAATTCTTGAAAGGCATTAAAATGTTTTAAAGTTCAAGTAGATTTAAATCACAAATATCTACACTTACATCAGGCATTTCACAATGTGCAATTGTAAATGTGAATGTGCAATTGCAGTGTGCAGTTGTAAATGTGTTGTTACTAGGTGTACTGACAATTAGTAGCTTATGGTAGGTAAAATATATGGGTTATGCTCTTTGAAGTGGGCTTGTATTTGGGGTAAATAGAACTGCTACTGTTAATGGGGAGGTATGGAACCTGGGAAACTTCACTTTGTGAAAATAACCCATGCCAGATATGACCATCTTGCAACTCTGGTGTTATTTGGTATCATTGACTTCCTTTTCCCTCCCCCAAAAAAGTTATTTTTTAGAGGAAATCCTGTTTATTTGCTTTGAGAAAATAAATTTTCCAGTTAGTCTGTTTAATTTTGTTTTCTTTCTATTAATCTGTTAAGGAATGCTGATACCCCTTAGATTTTTTTTTTTTTGCCTTTGCAGTTGCAGTTTTTGATACATAAGGAGTTGCTGGTAGTGGTAATACCACCTAAATACCTTTCCTATTAGTATTGATTTGTTTATCAGCTGCTGCAGGTGTTTCTTGGCCTCTTCCTGGGAAAGAGCATCTAACATCTACCCTTCCCTTTTATCTTCCGCTTTTCTTCTCCCACAAACCTCATTGCCTTAGCCATAGAGTTATTTTGGGGCAGTAATTTCTATAAAGACCACAGTCTGTTACTCCAACTCATGTCACAGCTTGAGAGCAATTGAAGATATTCTGGAAGTGCTGCTTCTTGGTTTTGCCTAACTTCTTAAAGGAATGTAAAAAGCAGTTAGTGAATCACTGGAATTACACTTCTTTCTTTCTCTTCACCCTGCCCAACTACTAGCTGTAGCCATTTATTTTTTTATTTTCTTTTGGTCATTTTAATATCCTTTCACTCCAGTTTGATTCATAGTCATTTCTCAAATCTAAGCATGTTAATTTAAGCAGCTTTCTGTGGAGGATGATTCTCTAGGGCTGGCTGATGGATTAAGTGGCGGTACCTTGATTGTGAAACAACTTAGATTTGCACATTTTCCAGTTGTTTCCCATTAAAACTTAAATCCTTGTTCTGTTGTGGCACCTTTAAAAACCAGATCTCTCCCTTACATCTAAATGTTATGAAAACCAGGCATACTGAACCCCAAGGAATGCTTGATTGAAATAATAGAAAATTTCTTGCTAACATTCCTGTGATTATGGGTTTATTCTAGTGACAGAAACTTGGTGTCAGGTAGCTTTCTGAATACAGATTCATTTTGGTAAAAAAAAAAAAAAGTTTCTAAAGGCTTCAGTGATGCAGTGTTTGTGGGGATAGGTAACTTCTTAAAATATAACAGTATTCACTGCATTTCCTCTCTAGGATTATCCCACTTACTGCCCACTGTGTGGTTGGTCTGGTTCCTGCTGCAGAGTAGAGCAGTATTCCCTTGTAGTAATTACTGAGATTGAGTAGAATGAGTGAAGGGAAATAGAAGTGACTCCTTCTTAGATCCTCATAGGAAAACAAAGACACCTTTGGTTTAGCCAACTCTGTTCTTCTGTAGTATCTATATAGGTTAATTTTTAATATGCATTTGGATTTATTTTGTTTGTAACTTGTATCTAGAATTTGACATCCTGAAAATATGTCTGAAGACAGTGATGTAGGAAATTCAGGAAAAGCTTTTAAGAGAGAAAAAAAGAGAAGAAACATCCATAGGTTATGATTTACAGTTAAAACTCCTCCACCATTAGTGAGAAGTTAATTTTGAAATGGTGTATTACATCATGCAGTGAGTATGGTGAAGGAGAAAACAGATACCTTGCATTCATTTTCATGTGACCAAATGACTTGAATACATGATGTGAACACAGAAACCAGAAATCTAAACTTATTTATCATATTTTGAATGTAACAATTTTTCTTGATCTGTGTTAGAGGTATTTGAATGAGTAAAGTGAACTTTTAAGTTCCCCTAGTGTTGTTAATCAAAAACATTTAATTTTCAACAGAGCTTAGTAAATATGTAGTGAGAGGCCCTGTGGCATAGGAGACTATTTGCAGCCTTAATACATGTGAAGATGCATGTGCTAGAAGTTACAGTGCGGGAAATACCTATTCTGGTGTGTACAAAATGAACATCAGCTGCTTTAAACCTAGAGTAAAGCTTTCTGGAATTGTTCCAGGTTCAGATATTGAAGGTCTTTCTATTTCAGAGTTGATACTCATGTTTGTTCTCTCTCCTCCCCCCTCTCTCCTTCCCTTTCCACCTCTTTCTCCTTTTGCAGGCAAGGGCAGCTCAAGCATCTCATCCGACGTGAGTTCAAGTACGGATCACACACCCACCAAAGCCCAGAGGAATGCAGCTACCAGTGAAGGTAGGGCAGCTGGTACTCATTACTCAGGTCAGGCCCCCCAGCAGAATCCTGTTTGCAGAAGAAGAAACTCTCCTCCTCATTCCTTCTGTGTAAAGTAGCATTGCTCTGCTAGAAATCCAAAAGCAGTTCTTCCTTTGAACAGTTTTCACTTCTATCTGTGGTAGTTTCTGATTTGAATTTGTGACAAATAATTTAAGGTACTTCTGCAGAACCCAAATATAGAGAGTGAGGAGTAATTTTGTATGCTGCTTTTTCAGCAAAGGCTTTTACACTTAAGGTTTTATATGATATTATTTTGCAATCGTATTTGAAGGATATGCTTGATGGAAGCTTTTTGGCATGCAATTTAGGTCTAATGTCAGTCAAAATTGCTTTCATAATGAGAACACTATGTAAATGTGAGTTGTTTGAGACAAGTTTTTCAAAATTGTAGCTGTGGACATGCTGACCTGACAGATTTAATAAGGTCAATACACCTCACCTCAGTTACTGGAGTATGTCATCACTGAGGGCTAGATTATTGATGTCCAGAGGAAGGAGATGTTGTATCTGTTCGTATCAGTACAATGTTGTATTAACAGGTCTATGAACAGAGAAATGCTGATTCTTCCTTTCTTACATGTGAGTAGGTGTGCTCTGTTAAATGGAAGTCTATTTGCCCTAGTTTTTATAATTGTGTCTTTTAAGGCTGAGAGGAAATAACTATATATAGTTTAATGATGTAAGCCATAAGGATTTGTAAAAATTGTGCATTGATATGCCTTAACTAGTGTTTCTGTGTAACTCTGTTGTAATTATTTGGTTTTACTTGGTAGTAATCAAGTTATAGTTCTGATTCCTTACACTTCTGTCACTACAAATTAAGTTACAAGCTCTGTTGGCTCTCAGTCTAGTTTTATTATGGTTAAAGGAAGTCAGACTTTTGAATAGTTCTAGTATGGCAAGTCTGTGTATGACTGTAGAATCTGATCAGTAAAAGCAGTTCATGTAAGTAGTAAATGGCCACATAAATCAAAAGAGCTCTGTTGTTGGGCATGCATAATCCCATACCAAGAATGAATATCTGGCACCTATGAATCATAAGAAATACCGGTTTAGAATCTGTGCTTTTTAGTCCAGCCAATAAATTTAACAACAAACAAATAAATGGTTATTAATAAGCTGAATAGTAGATTTCATGTTTCTCTAAACCTTAGATGCAAAAGTTCTGAGATGCCTGAAAGAGGTGGATTACCAGGACACTAAAAAATTTAGGAAATAAATTCTCTTTATGACAGACAGGAATGAAAAAGAAAAGAAACCATAAAAGAATAGTGGAAACACCAAAGTCAGTACTTAATAATTAATTTGAATTTCTTTTCTACTTCAGTCTGTAAAACAGTTTTTTTTATTCAAATATGATAATGCAAAATAATCCTGTACTAATCTCTGTGATTTATGTTCTTAATTTAGCTTATTATTGAGCCAGTGAATATGAATATTGACCTTGAAATCTTTGCCACTTGTTTGCAGCTGATTAATTCATTAGCAAGGGAGGCTTAAATGCAGGCCAGCAGTAACTGTAGTGAAATTATGTTTTTATGAGTTCACATGCAAAATCAGAGTTCAGAGTAGTGTAATTGTGTATTCTGTACTTGGAGGCAATTCCAGTTTTTAATCTAATTTTTCTGTGCCCTGGAATAGTGTGAATTGACAAATACTTATTTTGACAACAGATTCGGAAGCAGCTTCTTCCTCAACCTGTACTATTACTACTTTCTTACCATTTCTTTCTCCTGAAGAATTACTAAAGTGGGGCAGTTTAATAGAAACTACCTTAATGTGGATTGCTGCATAATCTGGCAGATATTTTGAATGTCATAGCTAGGGAGCGTAAGAATTCTGTGAAGGCAAGTGAAACAAGAGATATGGAAGTAGCTGAGGCAAAACAGGCACTGTTGAAACTGGTGTGTTACTGGCACATTTATCAGCTTTAGTGCTTGGATTTTAACTAATGCTGCCTCTTTTCCCCATGAACAGTAGACTTACACTGAAGGAGGATTCAGCTGGTAATAAAGACTCATTACTTCCACAAGATGACTTGAGTTCTATTCTTACAGTATGCTGAATGTTTTTATACTGTTCAGTTATAGAGTAATGCCTACGGCCCAGCTAAGAACAGGAGTCTGATTGTGTTAGATGCTGTACAAGCAGTAGCACTTACGTATTTTAGGGTGGTTGCGTAACATTTTTTTGACACTGTTAGTAAAATTTACCTAGTCCACTGTAATATTTGTTTGCCATGGTACAATAGTATCTGCCCAGCACAGAGGGTCGTACGTGTATCTTTATTTTCACTAGAGGCTATTTACTGCAGGGCCAGAATGCTCCAATTCTGCCTGTATTGTAAATTCACAGCACTGTGTCTTCTTCTGTGAAGGAGCCATGTATTGTGTGGCCAGCTGTATGCAGCCAGGTCTGGTGTGGGAGGAAGTAGGAAACATTGCAGGTAAACTCTTCTTCACCTTCATTGCCATGGGGAATGATTGAGCAAGTGGCAGACAGCTTCTTTGCATCCTCTGAATTTCTATTGCCAGCTGCATTCCTGAGTGTCCAGCTCTGTGAAAAGCATAGCTTTTGTTTGGGGCTGAAGGCCTTTCACAGCTTCTGCTTTCCAGCTTTTAAATAGACCTAATTCTTTCCAGTTCTGCACAGCTTGTCTTCTGTTTCTGTAAAACGTGTGACACAACACTTGTGGAAGTTGAATCAATGGAATGAATGACTTGAAACAACTAGAAAGGAAATTTGTGGGAATGATCCGTCTTATCTCTGGTACTCCACAGCTGAGAAGCAGTCATGTAAATTACTATTTAGGCAGCAACATATTCCTGAGAACTGTAAAAAGATGTCAGGCAGGGCTGTTGCCTGGAAGAGCACCACCTCAGGAAGTATCTGACAGCAGGTGTTATCTTGCCATCAGTTTAAGCAATCAAACCACACTCTTCATCATGATGAATGCAACCACATTATCAGTCAAGTTTCAGAGATGTGATGTTTCTCTACAGAATGGGTACCAGTAATATATAACAAGATGCTTGAAATTAGTCTTGTTGTTCCAGTTCTAGCTATTCTATTAAGCCAATGTCATTTAACTCTCTTGATGGGCACAGATGGTGCAGTTAGGGCCAAAATAATGGTACCCTCCCTCACATTGTGGATTTAGAGCGTCTCTGGAGTTGTGGAGTATTTTATGTTTCAAAGAGACAAAATGTTGGCCATGCTGTTGAGTGTGTCTGGGGGAAGGGCACATCTTCCCCAGACAAGGACAATGTGTGCTGGTATCCTTAGTTAAATATGTTTCACTCAGTGATGCTTCAGAGAGGTAATCACGACTGTTTTTGTTGCATAGAGGAAAGCAGACAGAACCTGGCAGACTGTGCAGCTTCCTGAAGTCACGCTTTGACATACCAGTGATGCTCTTGAGAGGAATGCAGAGGTGCTGAAACTGTAGTCCAGTGACTCTCACTTTGTGTACTTCAGTGAAGGGAAGGTGGCAAAACCGAGATGTCTGTGTAAACCACAGGCTGGAGAGACCTGTTTGGCTACAGCTTGGCTAAGAAGGAAACCTGGTAGCCTGTGAATGTGCATGCACACTGATGCCTCCACACTATCTCCTGAGGATAGAGTTTTGTTTAGCTTTGAATATACGCTGCTTTTTACTTCCTTTCCAGTCTCAGACATTGCCAGCAATTCTTTACCCTATCAATCAATTATAGCTGGAAATGTGAGAACACATGAGTTTTTACTACCCCCTGTTGCTCTTTGGCAAGTGAAAGACTAAATGGATTTTTGTGGGTCATTTAAATGCAATTTGCTAGACAGTCTCGGCTGGAATATTATTGTCTGAAACTTGATTTAGAAGATTAAACTGAATGAGGGTTTTTGTATGGGCTTACCTTGATCAGGGAGTTTTATTCTACCTTACCTGCAAAGCACAGAATGTGATGTCCAAGCTGCATGCTTTGTATTAACTTGACTGTTTTTCAAATAAAAAAATCAATACTGTTTGCATTTAATGTATAGCACCATTAAGATGCAATCCAGAGGCAACTTTAAATTGAGAGGCTCATGTATGAGCTCAATGCAGAAGTTCTAATTTATTTCTCAATTTCTGTAAAATCAAATTGAAGGATTAGGTCTGAAGTAGAACACTATTTTAGCAGAAGGGCTCAGTGCTGAAGTACCTCTGAATATATCCCTTTAAATCTTAGAATTGTGAGTTTTGCAAAAACATGGTGAAGCCAGCTGCTTTATTTTGAAGAAATTCAAATTTTATCTGCTTTTAGCTGACTTCTAGGGACCTTCAAAGACCAAGTATTTTACTTTGTTTCTCCTTTTGCAGTACTCTGACAGTTCTAGAGTACACTGCAATGTATGTTTAATGTGGAGATCAAATGAATTGGTTTTGGCAATAGCTGTTTGTATGAATCTCAACACAAGAGATATTTCTTCTGCAGTTTAGGTATGTACAAGAAGAGCCCTCCCTTTCATAGCTGTATCCTTCTTCCTGTTTTATTTAGGTTTTGTAGTGCTTCTGCTGGACTTGACAGTGCTGGGTTTACAGTTGGACTTAATGATCTCAAGGGTCTTTTCTAACCTAAATCATTCAATAACTCTCAGAGCAGCAGGGCCTATAGTCTGGTGGGAACAATTGCATTCATTAAAAGTTGTTCCCTCCATTAAACCATCTTAGAGGGGCAACTGTGTGAAAATGTAGCACTTTGCAAACATGTAATGCTTTAATTACTCTTGTAAAAGTTCTGCTGTACCCTGTGCAAGGTGATGGCTTGGCTGATCAGGGTGTGTTTGGGGTCATTGGCCATCCTTTTTTTTGGGGGGACCTGGCCAATGAAGCTTTTATATAGAAAATTTTCTTTTTACAGAAAAAATTGACATCAATATCAGAAAACATTTATCACTGCTCTACATGTGAATATATTAAGTGAAATTTCTTGAACTCA